AGAGAGAGAGAGAGAGAGAGAGAGAGAGAGAGAGAGAGAGAGAGAGAGAGAGAGAGAGAGATGCTGTTTTGCTGCAAGAAACCCACCTTTCCAATCTGCCCAACCATGTAAGAATCAAAAGGACAATCGAAACGAGCCTGGGAGGATGCACGTTCACGCTGTGGTCCAACAAAGACGGACCAAGCAAACGAGGTACTGCAATCCTAGTTCCCCACACCTCTAAAATCCTGTCTGAAGGACAGATCTTCAAAGGAGAAGGCGACGAGATAGAAGGCAGATGGCCGTGGATCGAGATCAGGTGGCAAGAAGAAGACCTGAGGATTCTGAACCTATACGCCCTTCCCACCTTCTCCATTCGTTGAGTTCCTCTTTGGCATCTCTTAGAAGGTCATAATAGAAGTCGTTAGAGGGATCCGTTATGAGATTCGCCTCGGCTACTTTTATGGCGATTTGGAGTTCCTCTTTTCTTATTTTTCGCTCATCTGCTATGCTTCCCGACTCGTCAGAGAGTCTGAGAGAGATCCTTATAGCTCTCAATGAACCATTGGTGTTTGTCCCTTCTTCTTGTCTCATCCTGTCTCATGAACAACCAGTTCCACTTGACTGCCTCTGTTGGGCGCAGTGTTGTGAGGAGGGATTTATTGGGGCTATAGAAGCCTTGACCCTTTTCCACCGGGGAGTTGAAGTTCAGGAGCAGATGGAATGGTTTGTGGTCCAACCCCTTGAAAGCAGCAGCTGCCAGGATTTCCGCCTCCTTGACTGTCCCTCGGAGGGAGTCGGAGATCCGAAAGAAATCAATCCGGGAGAGCGACGTGTGGTTAGCTCGGTTCCTTTTGACTAGAGAGAATGCCCTTATTGAGGGGTGTAGAGTTCTGAACGGGTCAATCAGTTCGAACCCTGTCATGAGGTTTCTTATGTGGGTTCTTGCTCGTGTGGGGCCCATGAGGAGGGACCGAGAAATACGGTCGAGGTTGGGTTCTAGTGTCGTGTTCCAATCCCCTGCCATAATTGCAGGTTGGGGGTTTGGCAGGAGGGACATGATTTTTTTGAAGAACTCCAGTCGTTCGGTGACGGAGTACTTCCTCAACGAGTCCATGACCAAAATTTTCTTCTCCAAGATCAAATCCAATGCCAGAAACAACATGATCAAGGGTTTGAAGGACCCGACGAATCAAGGCAAGGTCGAAACAGCCATCTCGGGTATGGTGAGAATAACCAGGGCCTTCTACGCAGAACTCTACGAGTCCAAAACCCCCTCGCCTCCCTCCACAACTCATTTGAACGCCCGCCAGCGTATGATGTCCCACCTAGAAAAGACTATCACACCGAAACAGACCGTGGACCTCGACAAGCCTATCACCAAAGGGGAACTCCAAATAACACTCTCCCAAATGGGCAACGACAAAGCCCCAGGCATCGACGACTTATCAAAAGTGTTCTGGTTGCAATTCTGGCCCATATTAGGAGACAATCTTCTCGACTTTTTCAACGACTGCATAGACAAGGGATGCCTATGCCAATATCTCAGCACCAGCGTGGTCTCTCTGCTCCACAAGAAGGGGGAAAAGGAAGACCTAAAGAACTACAGACCCATCTCCCTAATCACGACCCCATACGATATCCTGGCAAAAGCATTGGGCAACAAAATCATCAGCCTCACTGACAAAATTTTCCACATTGACCAAGCAGGTTTCATCCCAGGGTGGTACATACTTGACAATCTGATGACCCTGAACGAAGAAGCAAAAAAAAATACAGAAAAAAGAATGAAAGCGGCGATCTTCTTCTTCGATTTCGAGAAAGCTTATGATCAGGTCAATTGGGACTTCTTACATGCTTGTACGGAAAAAATGGGAGTGGGACAAAGTTCAGAGAATGGGTCAGAATCCTATATGGTGATGCCAATGGTAGAGTCCAAGTCAATAGAATCCTGTCCGACACCTACCCGATCTCGAGATCCGTCCGCCAGGGCAACCCCCTCGCTCCTACCATCTTCCTATTGATCATGGAGGCCATAGCGTCCTTCCTTCATAAAGACCCGTTGATACACCGCCTCACAGAATGTAACTACAGCCCTACACACGATTTCTGCCTTCCCACTGCACTTATGTTCGCTGAGGATCTCACAGTCCTGATCTGCGCCAGCAACTCATGCTTTCAAGCCCTGGCCAGAGCTTTGGAAGCCTTCCAAGTGGCATCTGAAATGAAGGTCATCTAGGCCAAAACCGGAGGGTGGTGGCTAGCTGACAGCACCCCGCCCCAACCAGACGACAGCCCCAATCCCCTATTCTGGTCCACCGAGGACCAAGCACTCTGCTACCTGGGCATCAAGAGGGCATATGGCCAGGGATGGGACAAACCTAGTAATAGCGAGAACATTATCATGCTTGGCTCCATGTAAAAAGGCTAAGGCATCACTGATAGGGAGACCACTAATCATCAATACGTCAATCTTCTCCATGCTGTGGTACATGGCCTCCATATGGTCCCCTCTGGATGATGACCTAAAGAGCCTCAAAGTCAGAGTCAGATGCTATCTCTGGACAGAGGGTCCGAACAGAACTATCTTCATCAACACCCTGGCACTACATCACCAGAAAGCCAACAGAAGGAGGCCTGGGAATAAGAGGCCCTAAACAGGAGGCAATAGCACTCCAAATGAAATGGATAATTAAAATCCTAACTAGACGGTCCCTGTCGTGGACCAAAATGGTCCTGGACCGCATAAGGAACCTGGCACCAGTCAAGACCCCCCCCCAACATGAGCGACCTGTTCTGGATAATGGCTAGAGAGTGGTCAATTGGGACAGGAAGGCCCCGAAGGAGCAACCCACCTCAATCGTTGGAACAGTCTAACCCCACCTCAACCCCATACTGGAAACCAACCCTGAACGCTTGGCGCCGACTCGTGCCGAGTAAGCAGGGCGCTCCTAACAGCAAGGAAGAAGTGCTCAGACAGCCACTATTCTGCAACCCCTGGATCACAGACATAGAGGGCAACCCCTGGACTCTGCACCATAAAGACCAAAGGTGGTTGTCTTGGCTCGAAAGAGGGTCTGGCAGGTCAGACACCTATGGTCAGAAGAGCGAAAGGACTGGGTGTCAGAACAAGATATGAGAATCCCCCTGAAGGGGATACCCCTCCCTTGAGACCAACCTCTCCATGGTACAACAGAGCATCCCACAGCCATGGATAGCCCTGCTAAAAGAAGAATTCACATGGAAGCCCGGGGACTGGAGACTGCTCATCCCTAAGACCCGGCCAGAAATGGCGTACCGGTTCATTAGGTGCCTCACAGGATCAAGCTGTCGTGCCAAGTTTATCTTTTACACGATCGACAACCAGAACCTTCAGGAACCAACAATCCTGAATACTGACCCCCAATACGGGACCTTAGAAATTTTCGTACTAGAGGAAGGTCAGGTTTTCTCAGTCTAAGCCAAGGGCGATCCTCCGGCCTGACCTCGGCATCAAAGACTTGGAATTTGACCCAAAGGAATGGATCTGGAGACAAGACAACTAGCAAAACAAGAACAATTGCCAAATACGACGACAAATTTGGGTACGATCTCGGATTGCTGACAGTTGACCCTAATCCCAGACTACTGGAGAGATGGAGGAAGATACTGGGGCTCAATCCCACAACTTCTTTCACTATCCCATGGGCGACATACCTCCTCATAAGAACAGTACGAATCCGCAGAATGCAATGGCTCATAGCCCACGTGGCCCTACCTGTAAACCAGTCGCTTCATAAAAGGAGACAACACTCAGACCCGAATTGCTCTGGAGTCTGAACTATGCCTGATGTGCAGCACTAACACACCAGAAGACATTCCACACTGCCTTCTCTTCTGCCCCGTAGCAGCCAGGATCTGGAACAAAATCCGGACGTTATGACTCTCCCTCTTCTCCTCACCAACCCCCAGCACTACCCCTCTAACCATTCTACTCCTCCCCAACAATTCCCCCGATCTCAAGGGCAACAAGGAGATCTGGTTCAGACTACTCAGAAAGCTGGCACTATGGGTCATCTGGAAACACGGAGGTGCACACAGTCAATCAAGAAGACAGAAATTTCAAGGGAGGAAATGTGGACCTTGCTGCTGAGGATGGTGGAAACCGAAATCCGGAGCAACTGCCACAAGATAATCTCCTCAACAAAGCTATGACCAGAGAGACAAGCCATGAAGAAGCGAACTTTCCTCAGGGATTGGTTGATAACGGGAAAGGTTGCCACCATAATAGACAACAGGCTGATATGGAAGAAGTGGTACTAATCGGATGTGCCGGGATACTCATCACCAAAAGGGACACGTCCGATCAGACAACAGGAGCGCTGCTGGTTGCCCAGCGATTCTCGTTAAGCAAAGCTTTTATCAGACAGGACATGATACGGTTCCTGAGAGGAAGAGCAGGGAAGGGCAAACTGACAGTCGATCCTCCAGTAGGGAGTAATCAATGCTGGTCAGGGATCCTTTGACTATACGGAAGGAAGTGTGAGAGTTTTCACCATGTATCTCATTCTTGACTTGCCGGGGAAATAGTAACCGGACTGATGCTCCCCAGAATGGACAAGGCACCAGGACCGTACGGACCTGTACTATTATTAGAAAAAAAAAAAAAAAAAAAAAAGAACGGACAGAAAATCAAAGAAACGAGCAGCACAAGCAAAGGAATAATTACAAGTTAGAACAGATGCCACCAATCCTCAGAACATCACAAGTTTTCTCTTTTACTTTCTTTTTTTAATTTAAAGAGATGCCACCGTTGTGCAAAGCATGAGGGCCCTCGGCCTGGTTGGAAAGAGCCTACGCCTGCTGGAAAATGCCTGCACCTGCCCAAAGTGAAGGTGGGCCTGCAGAAAATCGACGAGACGTAAGTAGAGGCCGACGTCAGCAGGAAGGGGTCTGTGGGTTGGTTGCTGCTCGCAGCATCTTCAACCAAACAGTAGCCCGGTGGGTTGAAGATGCTGGGGACCCAGCAAAGATGCTGAGGCCCGGGGCACTTACAGTTGAGCCCCAGACACATTCTTGGTGCTCGCAGCATCTTCAACCAACCAGTAGCCCGGTGGGTTGGTTGCAGATACTGGAACTGAAGGCCGCCCAGCCAGGGTCTGCCTCACCCAGCCAGACAGGACAGAAGCAAGAGTGTCCCACTCATTACATTCTGGCTAGCTGGACGGCGGCAGCGCTGCTGGAGCGCTGGCTTGCTGGACGAGAATCGGGCCAGGAGGAAGAAGGGCACTTGCGGGGGACGAGGAAGAAGTCATAGCCGGGCTGCTTGCCCCCATAGCTGAAGGAGGAAGGCGGAGGACCTTGGGCGACGGACTGTGGAGGCACTTACCTGGTGATCGGGGAGCAGACCGCTCATTCAGAGGGTGATGTGAGAAGGCACTTACCTGGTGATGTGGGACCAGACCATTCTCACTCAGAGTCTTCATTCGTCATCTGGCTGCTGTTGCAGATAGGAGTCTAGGTCGATAGGAGCTGTCTGACTGCAATGTGGGCGCCGAGCGCCGATATAGGAGGGCGGCATTGTTGACATCTGTGTTGGAGGCGAGAAGAGGACTTTCATTATCCTGTGACTTCAACGCTTTGCTCTTACTTATTTGGTGTGATCTCGTGGTGCAATCTGCTTTCAGCTCAGGCTCAAAGTTATCTGGACTTCTACAGAATGCTGCAATCTGGTTTCGCATGGCTTGCGGTGCTCTTATGTTTTGTCATTCGCATGGCTCATTTCATTGCAGTTGCGAAGTACCTTTGATAATGTTTTCATTGCAATAAATTGATTGTATTGATACTGTTAAAAAAAAAAAAAAAGGTACCTTTGATGACTGTGAATGCAGCTGAGGATAAGGGAGATGATGTGAAACTCGCAAAGTTTGGGTCGCGGGCTGTTGGGTCTCCTTCCAAGCACGTGCACAAGTGACTTGTTTGCCGGAGCCATTCGATTTTTTCTCTTTTGTTCTGCTAGGGGCTGGTACTTTTTCATGAATGGTGCCGGTGCTCTTCTCAGTGGCCGTCTGCGCTTTCTCCGGCTGGCCACAAAATGCCCAGGGACTTCTCCAATGACATGGGAGATGATACCATCTTCGAATTGGCAAAGGAATGCGAGCCTGCGGATAACCTTGGAGTGACATTGATTGAGATCATTGAGCTGCAGGAGGGTGGTGCATCTCTTGCATTAAAACTTAATAAAATTTAAAATCCTGCGCATCAACTTCTGGTTCATGAGTTCCTGGTGTATCTGGTCAATCAAAACCTGGACTTCGCCGAAGACCGCGGAACGGGTTCTATTGCCATATACCATTTGGAGGCCAATAAGCAGATGCTGCGAGGTTGAATGAGTGTCCTTCGTCCTCCCGAAAGCCCCCTCTCCACCCTCCCCCGACTTAACCCTTCGGAAGAAGATGAAAGCAACCATTTAGGCTGAAATGGCACACGCCAGCGAATCCTCTCGAAGGATGGAAGGTTCAAAATACACAGCCATAACTCCCAAGTGTTTTTCCTTTTTCGAGAAGAAAACACAGGAGGCACTTTTTCGTACCCTCCCCTCCAACACACCCACAAACAACGAAATGTACACCGGCTGCATGCATCTCATGCCACACTCAGCAACAACTGCCATCAGGTAGAGAGAAATATGATTCTGATCCATCTCAGCGACGCAGAACAGCTGGGCATGCTGATCGCACCATCTTCCATAGCTTCAAAGAAGTCCAAAGAACTTCAAAGACATCGCAAATCTCGCTTCTCTGCACCTTGTACCCATGATGGGGTCTCCAGTCCCGATACTTTTTGGATGTTTAGTAGCGGATCGAGGCCCAATAAACAACAGAGCGAATAACACTGTCGGCATCTTTGGCACTTGGAACAAAAGCTACGAGCTTTCAACAAAGTCGGTCATGAATGGCAGCTTCCACATCCAGATCAGCATCTCTGCTGGGCGACAATGTCCCATATGAAGCAACGGAGTGAATCACACTGCTGACATCTTTTTGGGTCTTATGCGTTATCGACCATCGCACAGAGCACGGAGACAACCACCATACCACGCCATCACCATCATCCAGCTGTCATCGATCAATGTGCTAGTTTTCATAATTCCCGTTCTCTTCATTTCTTCCTAGCTGCCTGACCGGTAGCAGGGATTTGGTTTTTACTGCTTTAGGAATTATTAGTACCATGGCTTTTTGAAGTTCTGAGTTTTAAGTTTTAATAACCTGAACTGTTTTGATATTAATCACAATCTGTAGATTGATAGTCAAGGCCGTGTTATCGATACTCTGGGCAGATAATAATAGTATTAACAATGGAACCATGGTAATCCAGGTACGGAAGGTAATGTGTCCTTCCGGATAACATTATATACCGTGGTAGTCCAGGTATGGAAGTTAACGTGTCCTTCCGGACATCAGTTAAAACTTAATATTGGAACGATACAGAGAAAAGTAATTAGCATGGCCCTTGTGCAAGGATGACACAAATCAATCGAGAACTGGTGGACATGGTCCAATTTTTTCTTAAACCACCACTACCTCCGAGCCTCCTTTTGCCGACGCGGAGCAGAACTGGGCGCCAAGCTTTGCCGAATCCCCAGCGCGACCTTTTCTTTTGTTTTGCCTGGTGCCGCCGGCCACTTTGGTCTGGTGGCGCCCGGCCTCCGAAGAATGTGGTATAGGTTATATTCACAACTTAGCCATCGCCTCTGAACGGTAGTGGCGGTTTGAAGGGCAAACACAAACGGTGTGAAAGTTATTCATGAACATTGAACACACAATGCTCATAGATTTTTCTTTCGTCTCCAGAGGAGTTATCTCAACTTATTTTTTTCATTTTGTAAATTACTAAATTAGCTACGGTACCAGAGTGGCCCGGGACCACTTGCCTGGTCAGGCAAAAGAAATAAAAAAAAATAACTTCAAAGTTAAAATAAGAACATAAATAAAAATATTTTTTGGGTAAAGAATTCTGATGTGACTCTGAGGCAAAAGCTGTTCAGTTTATTTTGCTGCATAACATTTTTTTTCAGAGTTTTTGGATTGTGTTTCTTTTTTTTTGTTTTTTGCTGGCACCTTCTTTGGTCCTTGCACGGCCAGCCCGCCCGGGAAAACAAGGTGACCCGGGCGGCCTGGCTGGTAGCCTAGTAAATTAATAAATTGTAAGATCTTCTAGGAATTATTATGGTAGGTCCTGGCTAGGATAATACAACCATATGTTAATGACATTCAGTAAAAAAAAAAAAAGGAACGAACTTCAACGAAGTTTATGTTTTTATGCTCTTTATGTTTTTTTAACTTTTTTTTGTATGTTTTAAAACTTTTAATGCTATTGGAGGCTTTTGAAGCATCACAACGAAATTCTGAACTCTCTACAGAGTTAGTACAGAGTCTACAGACACTGCATCAATTTTTTTATTTTTATTTTTATTTTAATGATTAAACAGGTCCTTAATACTCCTTATTCATTTTGGGAAATTTAGGTGCCTTGTCCTCTGGGACTTTCTTACTCAGTTGTTCTACGATTGATGGATTTACTGGCATTTACCCAAAAAAAAAATTAGCCAAAATTTTGACCGGTTACGGAATGACTTCTTCTGGGACTCAATAGTGTTTTTCACAGCCTGTGCAAAATTGCTGTAGAGTCTTGTCCTGACTATGTCGAATTGCTATAGAGTCGTATAGAGTATGTTGTTCACAAACTACACCAGCAGATGGTGTTTTTCACAGCAGAAGATGGACGACAAAGTGCGATCTTCGTTATCGTTCAAAAGGCAATTCAGCGGTGCTCCTCACACCCTTGCACTGGCAGTGTTTGGTAGTGGTGGTAGTTGTTCGCTGACTCACCAACAATGACAAAGAATTCATGAAGGAGTCGCCGCCAGACTCTCGCCTGTAGGTCCGCAGATATTAACTCCGTCAGTCAGTGGTGGTAGTTTTCGCCACGCAAAATTGTCCATGCCCTGCAACAGAATTCCTTTTCCTTCACAGTCAGAATTGTGTACCAGAGTACTACCAGTCTGCTGTCCTCTTTTTTTTTTTTTTTTTTTTTTGAACCACCAGTACTTCGCCCAGCTATTAATGCTGACAAATTGGCCTGCGAGCCAAAAAAAACGAACCAGCGCGGGCCTCCTCCTTTTGGCTGGCGCTGCCAGCCATTTTGGTCCCGGACCCCGACCCCCAAAAAATGCGGCCATAAAGGACTCGCAAATTTGTTTTTCAAGTAGAGGAAAGGTACGGCTGGTTTAAAATTTTAAATGTAAATGCAATTAGCTTTGCTGCTCCTATTCTGGGGAGGGTCAGTATTGCAAGTCAAAATTACATGAGGGTCAGTACGGCAAGTCAAAATTACATGCGTACCGAACTTCAACACTTCCCCACGTTACAGCCCGCGGAACCCTGACAGGCTGTTAGCACTGATCACTTCCCCTTCCCCTAGGAAGGATTGACTGTCCGTCTACCCCCTGTCCAACATGACCATGCACTTAGCAAATTGTTCCTACCCCCTATTGTTCCAAGCCCTCAAAAGCACATCTGTGAAGGTCATTGAGCCTCAAATTTCAGACAACTTCTCATGCCATTCATAACAAAACCCAAGGGTCATTTTAACCAAACTTGCCACCAATTCATAGAGTGGAGATCATACTATACTAACTACTGTGGGAAAAAAAAAAAAAAAAAAAAAAAAAAACCCTACAAAACAGAAAGGCAAAGGTGCACTTTCATGAAATTTCACCAACCATTTGAGAAATTTCAGAAATCTCATCAGAGGAAATTCCACTGGCCCAAATGATACCAAATTTGGCACATAGCAATCTGAAAGCAAAACAAAAACAGGCAAAAAAAAAAAAAAAAAAAAAAAAGACCCCAAAAGTTCCAAAGTTCCAAGCCCTAATTTCAGTTTTGGACCCATTAGTCAGGAGGTGAAAGTGGGGGCCCCCGTTAGCCACTTGTGAGGTCATTCGAAAATTCCCTCTCTCAGATTACCCAAGCCTGAATGTGTATGTACAGTTTGTAAACCCTAAACCCTCAGATGTCCCTGGGCTGAGCTCCATGCTTTTCATGTAGCTTTTTCATCAGCTCTCTCCTAATATTCTTGCCCTAAGAGTATATGTCTGCTGATCGCCTTTGCTCTGTCGATTGGTGGTTGATTGCCATAAATTGGACTGGCTATCCTCAATCTGCTCTCCTAGAGGAGTCCCCATGAGTAGTTAAGGGACCTGCAATTGCGCTTTGTCGTCCCTAATCGTGTACCTGACTGTTATAGCTATCCTGTGCAGCTGAATAGTACGCTACTACGCATATTTTACTCCTACAGCCTGATAATACAGGGCCAGGTTACCAGACTGCCCCAGGACCACTTGCGGGGCCAGGTCAAATAATAATAATAATAATAATAAAGAATACTAGGCTACCAGCCGGGCCGCCCGGGTCCCGGGTGGCCAGCCCGTGCAAGGACCAGAGAAAGTCCCAGCAAAAAAAAAAAAAAAAAAAAAATCCAAAAAAATCCCCAAAAAAAACTACGTTATGCAGAAAAATAAAATGAACGACTTTCGCCTCAGGGTCACATCGAAATTCTTTTACGAAATTTAAAATAAACCTGTGTTAGTCACCGGGCGGCCCGGCTGGGGGAAGGTCGCCCGGGCACCCTCCCGGGCGGCCCGGGCCAGGCAGGGCCCGGGCAGGGTCCCGGACCATCCCAGCGCATAATATTTAAAAAAAAATAGAAAGAAAAAAATTCAAAAAAATCCGAAAAAAAAAAAATGTTGTGTAAAATTGCAATACAAACCACTTTTGGCTGAGGGCCATCTCGAAATTCCTTGTTAATTTTAAGATACAAAATAAATGAGAAAACATGAGTCCAAATGTACCCTTTTAACCTCTTTAGTCACTGTTTATACCCCACAAACCCCCCTGGATGACCCATCACCGAAACGGGAGTTAAGACCGGATTCTGACTGCTTAGGCCAAGCGCAGTCCTGGCCCGAAGTCCTTTTTTTTTTTTTTAGAATCCTTGCCTCTTTTTTGACCTGTCGGGTTTTGCCGGGTGACCCCCCCTCTGCCCAACTGGCCCGGGCGTGCCTGGCCGGGCGTGCCAGGCCGGGCGGCGGCCCAACATAGAAATAAAAAAAATATATATATATATATATTGATGAGTCGGTGTGACGATATTCGGTGAAACTCCGACGAAACAGTTTGTCACAGCCCCTCGTTTGTTGTCCTCTTCTCCCTCTCTGCCTACGGTTTACCGGGCAGTTCTATTTGACGATATATATATATATATATATATATATATATATTTTGGCCCGCCCGGTCCACTTACACACAAACATTATGGTTCCTAGAATCTTCTCCTTAAAGATATTGGGTAATTACTAATTACTAATTTTGAATTTTCATCATTTTCATCATTTTCATCATTATCACTGGCCATTGGCCAACCCATTCGGGAGCATGACAAAATCTTCTCCCTAAAGATATTGGCCCTATTCTTCGGTAATTTTCATCATTTCCTGGCCCTTCGTGGCATACGCGTTTAAAATTTGATGGATACAAAGAACAATAGCATTGCTCTTGCACAAGGACAATACAGAATCAAGAAATGTTTCCTAGAAAGAAACTTTGCACTCTGTCCTGCCTGAAAGGGTGCCAAGAATTTTGTGTGCCATTCGTTTGCCCTGAACATTTTGGGTAATTTACTAATTTGAAATTTCAGTAGAAGGGACAGACGACGGACAGCACTAAATAAAAGAAGATGGAGAGACACTAAGGATAGGACTTTCAAATGGAGAAGGGGGGGCCGGGGGGGGGGGGGGGGGGGGGGGGGGGGGGGGGGGGGGGGGGGGGGGGGGGGGGGGGGGGGGGGGGGGGGGGGGCAGGAGGAGGGGTGAGAGAGTGGACAATGCCGACCGGTAGTTGCATGCTTCAAGATTTGTTGTGGCAACCTTTTCAGTGAACTACAACTTTCAAGATGTATCTGATTATTCTGATGAATCTGATCATGTTAATAGGCAGGTTTCATGGAAATAGTCCCAGTATGATGGCGGTGTCTTCATTACCAGCCGGGGCACCGTGGTCACTGTGGTTGCCTGGGCAGCCCGGCCGGGCAAGGGCCAGGGACGGTCCCTGCAAAAAAAAAAAAAAAAAAAAAAAAAGTCGAAAAAAAAGAGAAGTTAAAATTTAAAAAAGTTAAAAACCTATGTTGTGCGGAAAATAAACTGGGCAACTTTTGCCTTAGGGTCACATCGAAATTTTTTGCCAAATTAAAAAATATTTTTTATTAAAAATAGATTCATAATTTATTAAATTTATATATTTTTTATCTAGGCTACCAGAGTGGCCCGGGGTCAGGTAGCAAGTGCATGCAATAACTCTGTGCATCTGTCAACAGGGTGGACACACCTAGCGAGTTGCATAAGGGGTGGAAACCACACGAAACCTAATCACTGTTGCATCCGGACCAAATTCAAAGACCCGCCCAGGACCCATGAGTTTGCTGTACACTGAGTACAGTACAAGAAAGCCTTCAAAAAGTTGTTGAAAATATTAGAAATAGGCCAGCTGAAAATGGTAGAGTAAGCGAACAAAAACAGGCAACCATCACAGGTTGCTGTTGGTGATCTAGTCTGGGTTAAATCCAAGCAGGCAGCTAAAGACAAGCCAGACAAATTCTGAGCCAAGATGAAAGATTTCACCAAAGAATCGCGACTATAGTCGACAAGACACTGAGATGGAAACAGTGGGATGGGACTCCTGGAAGCACCTACTCGTAGGCCCAGGCCCAGAGGGGATCGCAGATGGGTCGCCCTGAATGCATGGGAGTGACAGGCCTTTTGTGATAGTTCGTACACGATTATCCAGATTCTGATGTTTCGCAGAAAAAAAAACTATAAGATCATAGTAAACCCTTTCGCATTATTTGTAACGATGAATCCAGAGTTCCAGTAAAGATTCAACTCCATTCCGTACAGTTCCGGTCACATCCACTATAGAATCCAAGGCGGTTGCTCATTCAGGGTGTGTACTAGGTTGTAGGGTAAAACCTGCCCATGCTAAGCAGATACCCACCTTTCGACCAGATCCATACCACGCAGATGAGAGCAGCCTGGACCTTCAGCGGTCTTGCTAATCATGTTGCACTGACCGTCCCAGCTACGCTGCGACTGAAAGGACCTCAAGAAGGAGAAGGTTATCTGACAGTCAATCCTCCCCTGCAGGGAGTAATCAATGCTGTTCAAGAGTCCTTCAGCCAGGGTTGTCACAGCCCCGGCCCCGGAGGTCCGGTGCGGTGGTCCCCTGACCCCGGCCCGGGAGCGGCCAAAAAAAAAAAAAAAAAATACTGGCGGGTGCGCAGTGAGAACCTGCCCCCCTTGGCCAAAAATCCAAAAA